AAATGCTTTTCCTTACAGCATTTATTGAAATAAAAACACAGAAAATTAAGTTTTCCATTTGTGAACTTTGACATCATCATCTCTGAAAATGTGATTGTGTAACGCTAGGCATACACCAAGATGAGCTAAGACAGTCAGTTGTACAGTTAGATTTTAAAAATTCACCGTCTATTAATGCAGTCCGATAACACAAGCAAAATGTTTTGCATATTTTGACTAGTTCTTTGTGACACATAGTGTATACACCTCCACAATCTATCCCAGTTCCCAGACCTTTCACATATTCCACAGAACTGCAACCACACCGACCACTAAGGCATGCAGGAATTCTGCTATAGGGTCTAAGAATGCAACTGTGCACGACCTGGTACGGTTTATTCACTACAAAAACCTACGGGAGCTTGACATTCCCACTGAGGGTAAAGACTGATATTCAGGCGTTAACGCCCAGCACAGAGAGCCAGACCTTTTCACCAGATGAGATTCATTGAAGGGTCAAGGCATTAAGTGCAGTGGGAGACTGTTGAATTTATGTGCCTGAGATTTTGCTTCATGTTCTCCCAGGAGATCGAGTGACACTGAGGAAAAACGTTCCACAGGAGAGAAAATAAAAATGACACAAATGAGGGACATCATTACCAAGAGACCAAGAAGGAATAAATCATTCTGAAACTGAAAACCAAATAAAGACATGATACCTACTAGGGAGGCAGAGAAGATAGAGCTAACAGTTAATACACTATGTACTACCTTTCCATTCAACAAATAATTTTTTTTTTCACACTCTATAATTGTACATCCTTCCAGATTTCCAAGAGTTTCCTTTCGGTGAAGCTGACTGAATGTAAATTGTCCTTGTTTTGACCTAAGGTGTGGTGGACTTCCTAGAACTTCAGGCTTGCATTACTTGTGAAACATACGCAGGGAGCTGGCTTTCACAATAAACAGCAAACAAAGTTCTTCATGCTTGTTTCCAGCTTAATATTTCATTCCATTGTTCTAGCATCATTTCTGACAGTGTGGTTTCTCTTGGGAGAAATTTAGGTTATCCTGTTAGGATTCTTGTGACTGTTGTTCCCATCATTCTAAAAATTGACGACTGAATGTGCATCACAACCTGCATCGAAGGTTATCCTTGAGGACATGTTCAAGGTCATTATCATGTCATAAACATGCTCATTTTATTTTTGGCGATCATCACTTATCCAAATAAAATGGTTTACCAGACTGTTGCCAGGAAAGCGCATGGGTGTGCCAACCAAGATTATGTTTAAAAAAGCACACAGTAATTTGTCTTGGTTCATATTTTGTACGAAGGTAGGAAACATGCTGTGCAAAGGAATGGTGAAATATTTAGAGACTGCTTTCCGATGATGAAAATTTGAAGTGACTTTCCAGCATCTAGTGGAAATAGAGCCTAATAATAGTTACGTGTTCAGACATACCAGGTTCACATGAGACTAAATTCGCGTAGTTGTCTACAGAATTGCTTAGAAAATGGTGCATAAATATTAGACTGCGTGGCCACGCTCTCAGAGTGGTAGGTTTTTACAGAGTAACACACCGCACACACATGTGCACATAATGACAAATGAAATATCTTAAGAACAATAGCTGGCAAAATCTGTGCAGTGATTTAAAATGGGAGAATGTTTCTTTGGGGACCGCTTAACACACGCTCAATCAGATCAAAGGGAATTTGGCAAAACAAGTGGACATTCTGAAAGGAAACATTTGGGCATTACACACATCCTTAATTTGTTTTTGTATCTGACCTGTACAGGCGCAGGTTATAATATACGTATGTAACTAAAGCAACTGAGCACATTAACAAAGCTTATACTACAGCGCTGTCGATTAATTTTCTATAACACTATAGCCTGACTGGCATTCAAATCACAGATTTATATTAATGTTATTAATATGCATAATGTGTTAGTGTTTTTATAGTAACTAAGTATTCACGTTATTAATATGTATAATATGTTAGTGATTTCATAGTAACTAATTCACAGGGCCATGTATGATTGACGATCTACATAATCTAATAATAAACAGATAAACAATGTGTTGTTATTTAACAAAGGAAAACGTATAATCGTTGACATGGTGAAGTTTTATGTAAGGAGACATGTTTTTAACAGTTATGGACGGAGTCTCCAGTATCAGCGTGTTTTAACTGTCAGTAAGTTTTCCACCATGGGAAAGTCTTCAGGAAAAATGAGAGACTGGTGAAGGAACGACTGTTTATAGCTGCTATAATGTAAGTGATAACAGGAAACAACTTGTCTTGTGGACATTCTGCAATATTAAATGTAACTTCAGGGCATACTGTTATATGCTGAGCAGCTGAGCAATTCATTTTGGTCATCCATAGGTAGTTTTTGAGGATTCATTTAGGGACATGTGCGCTATACAGATGTACACATAGACAGTTGGATGAAGTTTAGTTCAATAGACATAATGTACATTAATTCTGCACACGCCAAAAGGGAATTTCTCCTGGCATTATTTCCAAACCTACATAAACAGTTTGTTGCCGCTCTTTCTGCTATGACCTGATGACCTGAAAAATGTACCACACACCGTGACTGTTTCAGAGAGGCATTCCATCGATCTACTCTCTACACAGCAGCGAGGCTGTACCTGTCTCAGCTGTAGCAGTGGGTCCTCAGGAGAATAACCCTGTAAACGTTTAACAGTGTCGTACATCCCTTTAATTTCCCTTAAGACTGTCTCAACAGAGAAAACTCTCTTTCAGGGGAAATATTCCCATGCATCGAGACTTTTCACTAGCCGTGCAAGCGGTTTTGCATTCTCCTGCATACTGTGCACTGTTGTTATATCTTCAGAGATTTCTGGGAATGTACCATCTATGAATATTCTGATTAATAGCTTTTAGGATTTTAGGAAGAGTTACCTTAGAATGGCAAGATCATCAATTTGCCCAACAGCTAAACTGATTTTAATACTGCAAAATGTTAGTGAAACTGATCTATGATTAATAATTCTTTAATTCAAATATTTTTTCATGTCAGTTCGGTGACTAACGATTTAGGGTGTGTTCACTAGGCAAGACATTTATCAAACACTTTAATGCACATATTCAGTTTCCTCACATGAACTACTCAGTCCACTGGTTAGAGCCGTAACAAAACTACACCCTCAGCACACATGCGCACACACACCGTACACACACATTTCACTGAAAGTCACACCACCATGAGTTCTGATGAGTTTGTTGAAGGAGTGTGCAGAGCAAATACAGTTAATTTGTATTTACTCTCATGGATGCACTAAGAGTTCACTAGGAGGGGGCTGCACATAAAGAGGAACTAACTTTTACTTACGTACAATTAAAAATAGAGTTTCTCGCAGGAAAGGTTAGATGTTTTGGACACAAACTATCAAACATGCTAATAAATACAGTATAATGTTCTTACATATACAATAAAACACTATCCATAAAGTCCTTGGTGTTTGTGATATTTAAAGTTATGACAAAGTAAATGCAATTCATAAGAGCATTAAAGAAATACTCCAGTATGTTTGGCATTATATCAGTCTACTATATATTTATTTGTGCAATGAATTTTAATGTTTTCCTATACTGAGGAAGAATGGAAAGCTTGTGTATTACTGGATCTCCACGGGCAGCTGTATGGGAAGCCAATAAACATTGTCAAATATACACTATATGGCCAAAAGTATTTGGATGCCTGACTATGATGCCCGTACGTGGGCCTATCCCCAAACGTTTGCCACAGTTGTAATAGTCTAGCGGACTAAGGAACTAAGGCCCAAACAGGTTCCAGCATGACAATTCCAGCTCCATGAAGACATGGTTTGCCAAGGTTGGAGTGGAAACCCTCAAATGGCCTGCATACAGCCCTGATCTCAACCTCACTGAAAACCTTTGGGATGAACTGGAACACGGACTGCATGCCACTCATTCTCACTCAACATCAGTGCCCAACCTTACTAATGCCTTTGTGACTGAATGGACAAATCCCCACAGCCAGGCTCCAAAATCTATACACTGAACTCCAAAATCTAGTGGAAAGCCTTCCTAGAAGAGTAGAGCCTATTATAACAGGAAAAGGTGGGCCAACTCCATATTAATACCATGCCTTTGGAATTAGATGTTCAATAAGCACATATGGATGTCATGGTCAGGTGTCCACATACTTATGGCCATATAGTGTATTTTTAAAAACACTCTTTTCATAATTTATCATTGAATAGTGTAAAGTAAATCTGCAGAATTCATCCTTTCAAGTATGAGATTTGGCAACACTGTGCATTGCTGCCTCACAGCTCCAGGGTCCCTGTTTTGTTACTGTCTGTGTGGAGTTTCTGTGCATGTTCTTCCCATGTCCATGCATTGTGTTCTGTGATTAACTAGCCTCCCTTTCAGGGTGTGTTCCCTCCTCATGGCCAGTGCTCTAATCCACCACGACCCTGACCAGGATAAAGCATGTACTGAATATGTATGAAGATATGAGACTTGAAGAATTTGTAGTTATATGTTACCTACATTGCAAATGTTACTGTGCAGATGGCAGACAATCTGAAAAGCCTTTTGGGAATCCAACCTAGAAAGGTACTGAGCAACAAAGAACAGTTTGTACAGAAAAGTGAGTGATAGCTATCGAGGCTAGTGAGCTAATGAGGGAACCCAGCTCAATGCTAGGACTCCAAAAAAAGGATGAAAACTACAGTCACCGCAGCCAAAAAAGATGAAAGGAGTCTATCACCAGCTTTGGAGGACAGGATACCTGTATGTCACAAGCTTTTACGCAGATAGCTCTATATGCTGTGCATGAAGTTTGATGTGTATGAACCAAGTAGCAGAAAGGGAAAGATCACAGTATGACAGCAGTTGCCACAGCAGATCATTGGTCCACATATTTGATCTGGCACAGTTTTTACACTGGATGCCCTTTCTGATGCAACCCTGGAAGTGCACCGTCTTGTGCAACCCCAGTGGCTGGAGCTTGTTCCCTGGCCAGGAATCAAACACAGGCCGTGGCGGTGAGCACACCAAGGCCTAACCACTAGTCCTCTAGGGACCCACAGTATGACAGCAGTATTTATGGTAAATACTGCCTCATTAATTGACTTAATTGGAAGGTCTAAGTACTCTAGAAGCCTTACTAGCAAGATATCAACTATAGGATCACCCCATAACAGCTGTGTGACTGACCACACCCATTCCATATGATTCTTCTTAAAATCATTCAGTACAAATGGATTCTGTGCATAGCCAGTCACTGAGAACAGTGCTTGAGTTTTTAGCGTAGTATGAGGTATTGTAGTTGCAAGACACATGTCTACATCCGTGATTAAGCTTGTTTAATCTGAGGAACATTAGTGACAGTGTGTTATAGGCCTGTGTATTGACCCGTTGTATAGACCTCTTGTGAACTCAGCACAACTTCAGTGCATGTGAGAGTCCTGTGATCAGGGTGTGAGGATAACGGAAAGATTTTTTACAGTTCTTCTTTCACACAGATCTTGCATTTGTGCACTAAAAAATGTCATTCTGTCAATGCTGCTACTGTAATAAATCTGCATAAGCTACTTCCTTTTCTGACGAACTGTCAAATGTAATTAGACTCAACTTTTTTGGCTACAGCATTTGTTTATGTTAGATATTATGTATTCTATATTTTTTATTGTCATATTCCATCAATATTTGCAGTTTGAAATGATAATGCGGACATACAGTTTTTCATTTTAGAACTTTATGTCTTCGTTAGTATATTTTTTTCTGTACACACCATTATAGGACAACAGGGAAGTACAAGTGGTATGATAAAATAATATTTGCATAAATAAAACGTATGCGTATTAATCATTTTCTGTAAAATATAGTATTTAGAGTATAGTTTGAGTGGCAGTCTGGAAACATAGTTTCTTATGTGTGAATCCAGATGTTAAAAACTTAGCTAGTTATTTGAAAATAAAGACAAGCCTTTGTCACATGCAACCACTTGCAAGACCACTGATAAGTGATATATAGTTTGAATTTGTCAGAAGTGATATGCTAGTAGCTTGTGGTTCTCTTATTTAACTGAGTGGCTTTTTAAAATATATAAATAATATATTGGTTAACAGAAGCTGCTTTAAATTCCTCACACTGTTGCATCCTGGGATGATCTGGCCATACAGTTGTTGTGTCCTCTCAGAGTGCGTATATCCTATTACCTCAGCAGGTAATGATTATTGAACTGAATATAATCACTAAACATATACAGTATGATTTACTAAATACAACACCATGAACTGTGGTCAGTGCCATGGTGGGTCAGGATCCCAGGATCCAGGGTCAGGATCTCGGGAACACTGTATGTGAGGTGGGATTACACCCTGATGAGATGCCAGGCCTTTTACAATGCAGTGGCCAAGGGAGGGTCCAAAATACTAAGCAGCACAAAGTGCAGATTTAAATCCTTGCCACAGCTGTGTCTGTGCGAAAACAAGATTCCTTCAAATTCCTTGGCTTCTGTCCCAATTCATGTCTCTTCACCGTTTAGTGCCCAAGTGACTCCACACTGCTGGGAAGTGCGCACTTCACCATGTGATTGTATTACAGGCCTCGCGCGCCTCCGCTGCCATAGTAACCGCACGCGCTGATTCGGCTAGTCCGAGTAGTGTAGCAGTGTTAGCCAAACTGAGCAAAGTTTTGGAGCGGTTTTTTCGTTTTAAAGATATTAGCTATGTAAAGAATATGTCATATCCACGACACAAGTCATATAGATGATCAGTAAAAGCTGACTGGCAACAAAAAACACAAAATGACCGACGGAAGAAGTCAAATTGGACCTGGAGACAGCACTCCTGTTCATCCTTGGTATTGTTCTCCACCCACACTTTCTCCTAACTATGTATCTCACAGCAAACTAGTTTCTATTTACCGTGCAGTTTAAATTTGTAGACATGCTAAGCTTTTCTTTCTCTCTCAGATGACACTTTCCTTCATCTTGCACACTGTAGAATTGAATATAACTTCATCTATTTTATTTTATCTTATTTTTACTGGTTACATTTCTTTGCTTTCAGCTTCTGTGTTAAGGGAACAACTGCTAAATGAAATGTTGAGTCTGATACTCATTCAGGGTAAATTTAGACATACTGCTTTACCTGGTTTGTTAATTATGTATTAACTGGATTATGGAATTTTATAGATCTCCATGAGCATCTTCAAATCCTATTCCATTATAAACTCAGTATCTTCTGTATTTGGTTTCAAATATGTTGGGAAAGATGATTTTAGAAGAAGCGTTAAAAGGATCTATGCACTGTTTGTGATCTGTGCTGGTTTCATGTTCCTTCTAAGAAATTCCTAGGTGGATATCAAGACATACACTGGATGGTGTGAAAGGGTATACTGATACACATAGTAGTCAGTATGTAGGTTTATATAAATATACACTACACAGCCAAAAGTATGTGGACACCTGACCACGTGGTTCTTCCCCAAACTGTTGCCACAAATTTGGAAGCACACACTTGCGCAGGATGTCTTTGTATTCTGTAGCATTAAAATCCCCAAACCTGCTCCAGCATGACTGCACCTTTGCACAAAGCGAGCTCCATGAAGACGTGGAGTGGAAGAACTCGGGTGATCTGCTCCGAGCCCTGACCTCAACCCCACTGAACTTCTCACCCAACAGCAATACCCGACTTCACTAACGCTCTTGCGGATTTGGCCACAAATCCCCACAGCCACGCTTCAAAATCTAGTGGAAAGTCTTCCCAGATGAATGGTGGCTGTTATAGTTGCCAAGAGGGAAACTCCATACGAATGCCCTTGGCTTTGGAATGGGATGTTCAGCAAGAACATGTGGGTGTGATGGTCAGATGTCCACATATTTTTTTGGCTGTATATACATTTTGATTTCATAAACTGAAGATTTCAGCCCTAGTTTGTCTTTGGTCTTATTGCAGGTATAAAGAAAGACTTCGCACTAAGTCTCTGAAAGACCCAGTTCAGAAGCTGAAGCTCTCCGGGGCCCTGAATGGACGCAGATGGCGCTTTTTGACAACAGGACTTGATGATTTTAGAGATGGCTACCCCGTACCCCATGCGGGGACTTTCACACAGCCCCAGCGTGGAACCGAAGCTGCCATTTTTGGCCTGTCCCGTAAGCCAGAGAAATCGCCAAGAAGACGCTTTACCCAAGAGCAGGTGTGCTTCTCCAAACAGAATTGCCTACGTGAGACGCGCCGCCGATTTGTGGACGCAGTGGAGCAGAGCTTGAGCACACACCCGCTCGCTCTCTATCCACATTTAGGAAGTGGGATGGCACCTGAGGTAGACTACATGAAACTGATCAAGATGCACATAATATGACACCATCAGAATTGCTTAAAATTAGGCAAAACAAATCTCTGACACTCTTGGTGAGCTGTCACATGGTCCTCAGAACAAAGATATTCCAAGAAATTGTGTTTTACAATTGCTGGTGTAATTTGTTTGAAGTCTAAGACATACCAGAGTATGGTTCTCATCCCTTTTGTGTCTGGCTGTGACATCCCAAAAATTTCACAAATGAGTGCACAGCCTTTCCTTGTAGTCAATCTCTCTTTCTGCTTATAACAAGGTGATAAATACTGACAGTGTAAGAGATTTTATGGGAAAGTCGTTCTCGAAAATATCTTTCTAAGTAAGAAGAACAAATAAGGCATTTGATCTTTTTGTTTCCTTTTGTTTTTTGTTTTTTTTTACAAAAACGAGACTTCGAAACATAGATTTCCTAATTTTTTTCATTTAATTTTCAGCACCAGCTTGTGTGTTTTTAAATGGTCAATTAATAGCACGACACTGAAATGTTTAGACTAGGTTATCATAGCATGAACATTTAAAATGGTAATACGCCTAGTTCATTTACAACTTAAAATTAAATGTCCTCACTATTTAAACAGCAAAGGCAATTAAGGCTTAGAACGTACCTAGCTTGTCAAATGGGAAATACTAAAGTCATCTGTTTTCACCTTGTTTGTTAGCTGTTCGATGACGTCTTGTCCATCCTGGACCCAGCCATGCACGTCATGATTGAGACACCTCTGGCCAAACAAGAGGAGTGTAGCACAGGAAATGGGGTGCCATGTGAAGGCCTTATTCAAGAGACTTTACCAGAGCAGACAAGAGAATCACCTAATAGTCCAATGTAAGTGTTCTGTCTATCCAAAAACCTCTGCTTGATTTTTTGTCTAAGGTAAGATAAGCTTATGGAATGTAAGTTCCTAAGTCTGGGTGCCCATCAAAGTAAGAACTGGACAGCACTGAACATGCACCTGCTGTATGTCATACATCAGGATTCCTCCTTGTTGTTGTTCCACAGGTAGTTAAATGTGTTATAGGACCGTAATCTCCTAACACACGCTGCCCAACTCTCACGGTTAACTTTATGTTTCTTTGTTTCTGTGCGTGCACTCGTGAGCACTACAACTTGCTGTTTTGGTTTGACTGTCTGCTATATTTATCTTGCAGCTGTCTTCGCTTTATCAGCTCTGTTATTTTTCTGCTTCACTTGTAAGTCACTTTGCATAAAAGTGAGCCAAATGAGAAAAAGTCTCTAATATGAACCCACATCATCTCCACCGTTCCAGACATGATGAGGTAAAAAACTCTACTTCTCGGAATCCCTATAAATTGAAGGAAGCTAAGGAGATCTTTGCCAAAGAAGACCAAAATACCAAATTGCGCTCCACCTCCCTGGATGAAGAAATCAGTAGAGTCACCAAGCTGTTCTGTGACTGGGTCACCTCACTGGTCAGTCTGCACTGCAGCAAACAGACATGCATTCAAGACAGAATGGGCCCTCACTGACAATATGATTGACATCCCATACTGACATCACTTTTGACACTTTTCCCACATGCATTCTTCCTGTGTAACCTTTTATCAGTGACTATAAGGTTAATTATTTTAGGGTGAGGAGACCATTGACATCACAGAGTCCACTATCCTGAACCTGTTTGCCAGTGGCTGTGAAAAGAAGCCTGTCTTGACATTCCAAGATGTTGGAGCCAGTGAAAACCGAGAGGAGCTGCGTAAAGACTG